CGCTTCGCCTCGGGAGGCTGCAAGCACAGGGGAGAGAAGTGCGCTCTCAGCCTCGGGCTGGGGGAGGGTCCCACCCCTGGGGGGGGGGCTCGGGGTCCCAGGATGTGCACAGCAGACAGGCCTTATCCCACACCATCCGCTCCCCCCACACTTGAGTTGACCTTGGTCAGAACAAGGCGAGGGGCCAGGATGGGGAGAGAGGTCAGAGGGGGAGGTCAAGAACAGGGGGAGAGGGAGAGGGAGAGAGGGGGAGAGACAGAGAGGGAGAGACAGAGGGGGAGAGGGAGGCTCAGGGCTGGGACTGGGTAAGGATGCCCGTGCACACAGCTCTCGGGGGCTTAGTGTTTGAGGGTTCTTGTCACAAGCCCCCAGACAGCACCCGTAGGCCCCCGATGTCTAGAGCCCTGATACCTTGCGACGCCACCTGCAGCATCCGCTGTCCGAACTCGATGGCGCCCCCTGCCGTGAAGGTCAGCTTGTATGAAGCAGAGCCTTCCCAGCCACCTGGGGAGGACAGCGCAGCCAAGCTCAGGACACAGTCACTGTGAGACCACTGGTCCTCTCCGCCCGGCCAACGCCCCGAGGCTGAGGGAAAGGGCTGGCTCTGCAGCCTCGATGGACCAGACCTCGGCCTCCAGCTACCGCGCCGGCTGCCGCCTCCCGGCGAGCCTACGGGGCTTTTCCTTCTGGGAACAAACTCGCCCTCCCGCTCAGCACTGTGAGTGCATCGGCACCAGGGCCTCCCGCCCCAATCACGCCACTTCCCAGGAGCAGGTACCGTCAGCAACCACTGACGTTCAAGCTCGGGGCTGATCTCACCCTGAGGGGCCCAAGGATGGACTCCCGGGCCCTCTGGCCTGGCTCCCGCCAAAGGGGACCTGTGAGCCCCAGTGACAACGCGAGCTCCCGGGGCGGGCGAGGGCCGGGGGGCTGGGCAGAGGTCAAGGGCGCCTGGGAAAGAGCCCGCCAAGCAGGACCTCCCGGCATCACAGAGCAGCTCCTCGGGCTCCAGGGAGAGGCCCTTCCACCCTGAAACCGGGACACGCCCAGGTCGCAAGCGCTTCCACTCGCCCAGTCACCCGCCGCTTCCCCCTGCGAAGGTGATGTGCGCTGCCACCTCGATGCCAGCATTTCCAGTTCTTGTCAACCAAACCCACAGCCGCTACACAGCTGGCGCCCAGGTGTGGGCGTTGGAAGCTAACTCAGACCAGGAAGAGGACGAGCTGGGACGATAAGGGACCAAGGAGGCCATCTCCACGGCCGCCGTTAGGCACCGGAGCGCCTCTCTGGAAGCCCACGGATGTCCCTAAGCCCCCCGCCCCCCCAGTCACCCACCTCCTGCCTCAGCCTTCACTGTCCCCTTGATGTAGTTTGCACCAAACACGGGCTGCTTGATCTCACAGTCCTTCATCAGATAAAAGGGCATCATGAAGGACCGCATGGCATCCTTCCCCTTGGACAGAAAGATGACCTGCAGCGAGAGAAGATGAGAACCATCACCAGCCAACCGCCGCCCAGCGGGCCATCGCTTCCTGCGTGTGGCGAGTCCATGCCAGTGCGGGGCGGGCAGCCCGAGCCAGGGCCCAGAGGCCAGAGCTCTCCGCTGGCACAGACCCTCCTGGAGAGAGCCTTTCACAGGGAGAGGCCAGACGTGCCACTCACAGGCAGCACGGGAGCACAGACGGCTGTCACTTAGGCGGTGGAGGAGGTGGTGGATGTGGTGCGGCAGTGACAGGGCCTGCAAAGCTAAGGCAGAGGCAGGGGCCAGGCAGGGGAGGAGTCCCGAAGGGAGGTCTGGCCTGAGCTCTGCAGAACCAAGAACGAAGTTGTGGCAAGGGCGTGGGAGCCCGGACAAGGGGGGCTGAGGGACCCCTCCCCAGACTCACTGCCCAGGCAGCAGGTCGCACACCCGCGCTTGCAGAACCATCAGTTTCACACCCACAGCTCCAGTGACCGAAGATGCCACCTGAACCACCAGACATGGGCTTGGAGCCTCCCTTTTTGCTGCTAAATCCTGGTGAACATGGTGAACATGAGGATGTGCTCCGCCCCCCGCCAGGCAAGCCTGACTCCTGGGAACTCCAGGGCCTTTCCCAGGACGCCCGCTGGGATTTCTCTGGAAGTCTCTGTCGCCTGGGCAGCTCTCAGGCGAGGCCACTGTGCAGCCGGGCATTCCTCGCTCTGCAGGGCTGCACCGGTCTCTGCCGGGTCCGGAGGCTGTGGTCATGCTACTGCATCCCTGGTCACCATATTTATCACTCTGATGTGCAAAGGCCTGGAGGCTACGCCTGCAGAAATCAAAATAACAGCAGCCTCTCCTCCCCGGGCCCAGGCTATGCCAGCAGCTGCCTCCAGAACACAAGTTTATGCAGCAACAGGCGCTGGGGACTTGTCATGATTTCACTGCCCAGTGGTCAGTGCGGCTGCACAACAGCCTGGTGTTTCTAGGATCCCATATACACGTGTCAG